TTCATGTGGAAGTTTGGGTGTCCCCCAAGAGGCCCGTCGCGCGGCGAAGGAAGAGACGCAGACGCGGCAAAGGACGAGTCGCAGCGCATACTGTAGCGGTTAGGCGTCAGGTTAAATAGAGTGTACCATACTACGTCTCATATCGCACAGCACGCGCTGCGACTCGTCCTTTGCCGCATCTGCGTCTCTTCCTTCGCCGCGCGACGGGCCTCTTGGGGGACACCAGGAGGTGTTGATTCAACAGGCGGTCCCAACCAATTCCCTGGCGCGCTGGAGGGCCTTTGCATCAACTACGTCAAACTACGTCATCAGTTATGCTGTTCTTGAAAGTCAGTGGTAAAAACTCGCTGGAAAACACCGCTCACCTGGAGATTGAGAGAAAATGGCCTCGAAACAGGTGTAATTGACCAGAGCGTAAGCGCAGAGGAAGAAGTTTGATATGAATGGGGCTATGATGTTCAAATTGCCTAAAATCTGGTAATCCTTCCGAGAAGAACGTGAAATTCTCGAAGGCATTCACCTATCATTAAGACAGCGATTGTAATGAGGAAGCAGAGGGCATAGGCTCTTCGTGGATCGTTTCCCGGACCATATCCTTTCGCGAAGAACGTAATAAGGGGAATTAATTTGTCTTCGCATACCGCCTAAAAGCAAATAAAACAATTCCACATGTTCATATTTGGAATAGCCTATGTATTACCTGAAAAATTCTCGACGCACTGACAAGGCTTCCCATTGCAGAGCCCAACGAAGCGGACACGATACCTATGGTGATCAACCAGGGGCACACGCTTGTAACCATAATCGTCTGAAAAAAGTAAACAGTTCAAGTCACAGGTAATTCTAACCTTCAGACCCTTTTGCTTTCTGGATTGTCAGCGTGATTTCACAAAAGTGTCCTTAGATTAACTTATGTAGGTGGAACCACCACTCGCTTCTTATATCACGTTGCCAGATGCTCGGTCTCAATGCTCGGCCTAACAACTGCTACGCTGAGTTGCATACATACTGCATACGACTGTGCGGGCTTGATTGTGAAAGCAAATCTTTGCAAAAAAAATCCGGTGTGAGTGGATGTATTTTATCCGACAAGGGAAGGTCAATTAGTCAGTACGCCCATTTGGAATGGGATCCATGCCTGCACACGTGCATCAAGACGCTAGGATCAATTCTGCTTTTGTTATCTATGGAACGATTTGCTGAAAGAAGTTATGAGGCAGGAAAGTGCAGTGGTGACTTCATCCCCTGGCAAGAGATCGTGGGAATGATTTCGGTGTGGGTCCTTACTTTTGCTCTTCTCAAAACTACATATAGCTACCCTTTATTTCGGAAGACGAGAGGAGCGAGACCACACACCACAAGTGACGACGGCTGAGATTAAGCAGCTTTCACTGTCACTTGTGATGTGTGGTCTGCACTTGACGCTCTTCTCGCCTTCTAAAATATTGCTGCGGGCCTACTGCTGCGCTTTCCTGCTTCATGACTTGTTTAGAAAAACCCTCTCACAGATAGCAAAATCAAATTTGAACTCAACATCTCGAGGCACGTACACAAGCATACATCTCATTTCGAACGGTCATGATTTTTCCTTGTCAGGGAACAAAATCATCGATCATTCACGTGAAAGCCGCAGCCAACTGATGGAAACCAAGATAGATCCAAGCGTTTCCCGTTGACGAAAAAGCAGGCAAAGAGGCGGCTGCAGTCGTGTCTCAGTGGGTGGAGGCCACAAAATTGACACGGATGTAGAAAAAGTTTTCCGCCTCTTAAGAAAAGATTCAAATCAGTTTTTATCCTCAATTTGATCTCAATTTGAGATTGAATAAACCAATAACCATCATTGACAAAATATTTACTTTTATAATTTTTATTTCAGGAAACTCCTGGAGATCGCTTCCATGGAAATTCTGGTGCGACACCTCAAAAGGACATCTCAGAAGAAAACGAAAAAACCTTCTCCCCTCTTCTCTTACTCCTTCTTCGGAGATTCTTATTTATTTATCTATTCATTTT